TTGCGGGTCAGGCTTTAGCAGAAGGCTCCGGTTGTGGATTTCACAAGGAAATTCACCGGCTTTGGCCTGTCAACCTGGCAGTATCGTGGAACTTTCTCTTTTGTATGAAGATAATTGTGCTATGATTTGTTCGAAATAGTCTGGGTTCAGACGTATGTGAAATAAGACAAAATCACTTCAAAGAGATGAGAAATCAGTTTTGGACCCTTGGCAAAAATAAGACACGTACTTTACAGATACTGCTGGAATTCGGCAACCGAAGGCAATCACTGGCAGGGAATCACATACGTGAATTTGCCGTACTGAAAGACGAAGTAAGATGAAGCGGTATTGAAAACATAGTTATTGACCAGGTTTTCAAATCAGCAACCGCTGAGAATCTATGGCATCACAAACGGATAAAAAGACAATGATCGCTTATAAATAAAGATTTAATACACGACATTACAAATCTTTTGTAAGTCTTTTGAGACGAAGATTAAGAAGGCTTCCCCATAGAATTTCCCCACTGATGTAAACAAGGAAATCGAGCTCTTTCAAAACTGTAGCTAGTGCATTCTGTGATCCTTAATACTGAGCATTCCAACGAATAAAAGCTGGGCCCATAATGAGAAAACTACCAGCTCGATCATATAACTTGATGTTTCAGGCCGTCGAAGTAGGCGGAACAGAATCCCATCTCTGAAAACTATGATCTATCTGTTGGTCATAATATATTTTGACTTAAAATCTGTCTCATTAGAGTAGTGGCTAAATTAAAACGATGCTATGGTGAGGACTTTCATCCATACTTTACTGTATTAGGTGACCGAGTTACGTGAAATTCAAAACATGAAGGTGTTGGTGGCGTTACCATACAGAATGGTTACGTAAACTAATTCGATGTTACCTACTTTTATAACAGAAAAAATAAATTTCAATTTTCCCCACCAAAACTACATGTCATAATATTGCACCACTTATGCTCTTGGCTATTTCGGAATAAAACCAAGTACTACAACATAATAACATCACAACACATGTGGCTTGATTTATCTAGCTGGAAAAGCTTATTGGTTTAGACAAAAGTAATGGGAAATTTAAACAGACTTACTCTGAGTAAATGCAGGTAAGAGATGAGTTGGCATACGATCCTTGGGATTGTATTTGGCAAGAGGATCCACACGGCTTTGTGGCTGCCGCTTTTGCTGAAAAAGGAACATCATATTCACCATACGACTGGTGCATGCATGTCGGCTATCGTCATCATCATCAATTCACTAGATTGATTCAACCGGCTGCAATTACTGAAATTTTTGCTTCTTTGGTCATCAAATTCACTGGTATGCTCAAACAAGTAATAAAGAGCTTTAGTGCTTTAACCTGAACCAGGTGGAACCACTTATACGCCAATTTTAATCTTCACTAGACTAATCTAGGCCATGCATGGTCATTTTGAGCACATTGTCATTTGAGGGCGATCACCGAAATAGGGTGTTTGAAGTGTGTCCCAATCCAATTTCTCTCTCTATCGACGGGACACCGGCCCTCAAAGAATTGCGGAATCGGAGCCCTTATCTTGTGCGTTTGATCATTCAATTGACGCCTGGGCAACTAATCACAGATCAACCTACCAATACTATTTGGGTAGCCGAGCGGTGAAACAGACCGAAACAACGGTACTGTGAAAATGAACGCGTTTGTGACATTCTCCATGGGCTCCTTTCTCTAACTGCAACACAATTGCATTGTACACATTAGTCTAGAGCTTCATTTCCCATTTTTGCCAATGCTCTCTAATCCCAAATCACGAGAAATCTGAAAAAGGCCAACACTGTTCCCACTGGCGAACACTGATCTAATATCTGAATTATGTCCCATACGTCATCTTCCTCCATCGTTGGAGATGTCCCAACTTAACGACATTCAAAGTGTGGACAAAGTTAGCGTTGTGTAACATCCAAGAGAAGTATACTCAATAATTTGACCGCTTTCTATAGTTAAAGTCATTGTCTCTCCATATATAAAGTTACACTCATCTTTCCCGGTATCCTAGGGCGTTTGTGTTGCACCAAGCACCAGTGCTGAAGTCGCTACAATAAAGCGGATTCCGGTCAACAGTTGGTTATGCGCAGTAAGCTCAAGATAAGCACAACTGGTTCGTCGTTGGTGCATCCGTCCCAGAGGACTGCTGTCCAGATGCATCAAAGATCTGTTCCTACCACAAACTGAATAACTTTCGGCGTAAAGCGGCCCAGAAGAATATATGAATGATCATGCAGGCTGGTTGTTGTTGGATGAGACACGATTGGGAGCCATTCGGGAGTCATTTTCAGGAGTTTGGATAAGAGATACTACTGGTTTGGTGCTTGAATCACTGATCACCGCTGTTTATGAGGTAGTGCTCACGTTTTACGTGGACGCTGTGAGAGATGACGAGGATAAACAACAAAGTGAGACACAAGAGTTCAACCCACTCTATCACGGAATGTCTTGATTGCACTTGAAGGTAATGAATGTTAGGCGTAAGTAATTTCAACAATTTTGTGATGAATTTCGTTGCACAGAGCAGAGAAACGTGGAATGAAAAAAAAACAGTAGCAACGTGAAGCACTGCAAATCTGTTGATTTAACTGAGGATCGAATTCGGGAATTCGCAAGTAGAACCCCACTTGAGTCATTGATATGAGAGTAGAACATACGCGTACATAGGTAAACGGAGGAAAGTGCATAGCAACACCCACCGACGATGCTGGTTGTGAAGATAATGATGAGCAACTGAACAGCTGCAGCGTTGTTACGGAACACTGCGAACTCGGTCTTGACTTCTCTATTTAGGACCATCACGACGAGAATGCACTTCAGACGTAGTGTGATGGCCTGTGTGCTTAAATGACCCTGATGACCACATAGCATGGCTTTTCACAGCCTTAGATCCAATCATGCCTGAAAGGTCATCGGGTAGAGGCCAGCTGATTGGGCAACTGACTTCCTTCTATCCACATCCGCCACTGGAGTCACTCCAGAAAATAAACACGGTGAGGAGCAGTTTAATGGCCAAAAAACCCCGCTGGAGGGACGTAGGAACGGGGTATCTGGGGCTTCCCCTCGACGGTGGGGGAAGTTTTCGCACTTCACTGGACAGCCCCCGGCAAATAAGGTGCTGTCCCGTCCATGTTCCGCTTGTCTCATTGGGTGCATGAGACTAGGGGGCAATTCCGAACAGCGGACCGACAATCAACAAACCAGCGAACAACACACTGAACCGAAACCCAAAGAACTTGCGTGAAAAGTTTCTAGAAGCTCCCACGCGGATGCGTCGTTCACGCTCCAGCGTTAGATCTACGCCCCACTGCCTTGCGGGTCAGACTTTTGAGTCAAAGGCTCCGGTTAGGGTTCCCAAAGAAAATCCCTTCTTCGGTGTGGGCTGCCGCGAATTATGTCGTGCCTTAGAGTCTTAGGTAAAAAAACCATCTCGCTCTTCTGTCTATTTCTTCTTCTCAATCCCGAATGATCCCAGATGGCTCCTCTTTACATCACTCATCGCATATCACTCAGAGTTTTACCATCAAGGCCAAACAATCAGAAGTTATAGGATTCTTGGAGCCAAGATTCCCTCTTCACTTAGCCCCGTTCAATGTCCGCACACTCTATTAGATCGGTCAAGCTTCCTTAGCTAGAACCGTTGAAGCTCTCAATTTAGATGTATGCTGTCTCCGAAACACGTATACTAGACCCTACTTCAGTTATCTTCCTGCGTTCTCCTGATCCAACCTCAACACTAGGCTTCATCCTTCGTGTGTCAGGCGATTCGGCATCCGAAGCTCGCGGAGTGGCTGGTGTTGGAATTGCATTAAGTGCCAAGACTGAGCGCTAGCTTCTTCACTGGATTCCAGTCAGTAGCCGACCGTGCGCTGTACGTCTCAACGATTAAGCACGGGTCAACAGCTACCGAACGAGATGTCCATGCTTATTCATCGTATCGGAGTATGCACCGACCGATTGCAGTACACCTGAAATCAAGGATGAGTTCTACAAGGGACTTCCTCAATTACTCCAAAGTGTGCGATCAACGGACGTCGTAGTAGTTACCGGAGACTTCAATTCTCAAGTAGGTCCCTGGACGCGTCAGAAAAACTTCTTGGTGGACCGCATGCAATCTCAGAAAAACCGGACGGACAACGGATTGTTCCTGTCAAGCACCAATTACTCGCACAAGAAACGACACCGGCTCACATGGAAACCGCCAACATCTTCACAGCGCTGGACCCAAATCGACCAGATCGCCATCAGTTACCGCTAGAGGGGGTCGATTCATGACTGCCGTTCTTATTGGATACAGATCACGCTTTGTTGAGAGCCAAATTCTCCTCACGCCTGGCAAACAACCACAAAAGAGCCATCGACAACGGACACCCACGGTACAATATCAGCGATTGTTGCAAATTGGCCTTCGAAGCGTGAATCTCCGATCGCCTGTCAGTTCAACCACCATCCGAAGGACTCAATGAACACTGAAAGCAAATCAAGGAAGCTATGCAAATATCGATAAAAACAACGTCGGACTCTGGCGCAGCTCCAAAACACAAACGATGAATCTCGTCGATCTCGGCTGCCCTATGGACGCCCGTCGCACCCTCCCTTGAGATGTCACAAACAACACAGCGCGCAAACCCCTCAAACACTAGCTCAAGAGTCTGATGAATGACCGCGAGGAATGATGGAAAGGGGAGTGCAAAGAGATGGAAAAGGCTGTGGCTATTGGTAACAGTCGCAATCTTTTTCATCTAATTGGGAATACAGGAAAACAGGCGTGAGGTAAGTAAGGAATCCGATGGCACACTGATTCACGATTAGCAAGGCTCTCTTGATTGATGGGTTCAACATTTTGAGGCTCAGTTCAACTGGCCCCCATCGAAATCTGATATATCAACTCACCCACCCCATCTCGACTGGGAAAATGCTCCCAGTTCTCGGGAAATAAGACATGAAAAGACGTAAGGCCTCTGGCCTAGATAGACTGTCTCCATCGGCGTTTAAAGATGGAGGTTCGGTCTTGATTTCGATGTTAACGAAACTCTTGGGCTCCGTGTAGGAGGGGACAGGTTCCAACTAAATCGTGTGAATCGATGATCATACCGATTTACAAGAAGGGTGACGGGTCCTCTTGTGAAAACCACAAAGGAATTAGTTTAATCAACATCGTCTCTAAACTTCTCGCTGAAATCGTACTCCGTTGATTGTCTGCCGCACGTGAGAATCAGCCTGGCCTTAGACCTGGTCGAGGTTGTATCGACCAAATCTTCACTCTTCGCGAAGTTCTCAAACATCGACATTCTTTCCTTAGACCCAAAATTTCTATCTTCCTCGATATGAAAACGGATTTCGACTCAGTCGACCGCTCTAAACTCTGGCGCTGCCTTTCCGTGAAGGATGTGCCCGAAATGTTTATTTCAATATTACAATCCCTTTATACCAATAACCGAAGTCGAATCCGGGCTTACGGCACCATTCGCCCAAGTTCACCAAAGAAAGTGGTGCTCGTCAGGGTTGTTCTCCGTCTCTCCTTTTCTATTTAACTTTGTTATAGATTTGATTATGGAAACAGCCCTGTCATCGTGCGAGGATAGTACCATCGACTTGGTCCCAAATGGCAGACTGTCTGATCTGCAGTATGCAAATGACATTGTGCTGCTAAGTGAAGACCCAGGTATGTTGCAAGTTTTTATGGATAGCATGAGTGCCAGCGTAGCCATGTTCGATATGCGTTTGGCACGTTCAAAGTGTAAAGTGTGGCTACAAGACTGGGTTGGTCCAGCACCCAGCCTCATTCTAATAATAGAAGTGGATAAGTTCTGTTATTTGGGTAACTACATTTCACCCGGCGGACGCATCACGAATGAGGTGCCAGCTCGGACACAGAAGGCTTGGTTGGCATTTGCCAACTTAAGACATTTGTGGCTCCGTAGCGAGATCCGTCTGTCTGTGAAGGGTTGAGTATATGCTGCGGCAGTTCGGTTACTTCTGCAACACAGTGCGGAAACTTGGCCATCAAGAAAACTGTCGGTGCTTGCATGAATCTGATGGGGTAGTCGGAAGAGCAATGGTCAGGCGTAGAGTTTTAGGTAGTCGCAATCGCCCACTGGAGCAAGTGGTCGATCTCCATAGATTACGTTGGTTGGGGCATGTGTTACTCATGTCACCAGCTAGGTTGCCATAGCGAGTGTTGTCCGCCGAGGCAGGTAATGGGTGGAAAAAAACAAGGGTGGTCAACAGAAGATCTGACACGAGTATGAAAACCCTAACCAAAGTCTCGGCGACATAGGTCCCGTTACGCTCCCTGGCTGGGGATATCAGGATGATCGTAACCTAGACACTGAGTGATCTGGTTATGTTAGAAACAGTACCTCTGGTCGAATGGGCGTTTACAACGAAATAAGTAGGCCGTTTGTCACGAGCAGTGAAGTTCGTCAAGGGTGCCCTCTTTCGCCGTTCCTATTCAACTTCGTCGTAGACGAAATACTGAAGTAAGTGATCTCCAAAAAGTAGGTATTGGATGGTCAGCTGGAGAAAAGTTGTGCGATTTAGAGTACGCCGATGACAT